TCTCTCTCTCTCTCTCTCTCTCTCTCTCTCTCTCTCTCTCGGATTTGTTTGAGAAGCATCCAGATAGAACTTTACGAATTTAGTCGCGCTCGTTCCTGATAAACCGAAGTAGAACGGAGCCCTCCCCCCCAGATTTCTTCGTCTCCTCGTTCCATTAGCACGCTAACTCCGTTTCGTTGAAACAATCGCGACTTCGAGATAGACGACAGGCAAACTTTTCAAGTGAAACCTAATTCCGACACAGTCTCTCCGCTCGTCTCTGTCCGAAGTGATCGCTTTCGGTAGGTTCGATCGAGTCCTCAAGTTCCCTCGAAATTACGAGGAACACATTATGGATATTATGGGAGTGTTAAGACCTAGGACACATCATGTTCATGACCTCAAGGTGCTTCAGGCACACGTTGTGTACGATACTTGTAAAATGATACAGTATCAAGAGTACGAGTGCGAGAGAGAAAGAGAAAGAGTGACAACGTATCGAGAAAATGTGTAAATCTGATCGTTGGAGAACGGTGAAAATAGTCTGAATTTGATCGTCGAGTGAAACAGACAGTATGATCGTTGAATGGAATAAACAGTGTGGATTTGGTCGTTGAGTGAAACAGATAATGTGGATTTGGTCATTGAGTAGTGTAGACAGCGATGTGGAGTCAGCCATTGAGTAGAATAGACAGTGTGGATCGGATCGTCGAGTGAAAAAGAAGAAACGTGGATTCGCGTGAGAAAATTTGTCAGCGTGTAGTAGAATTCTTCTGGCTTAGTTTGACCAGAAATAATTTTAATTTTAAATATATGCTGGTTGGTATATTTAACTTATTAATAATAATGTATATGTATATTTTACACTCGGTATTGATTATCTAACCTCGAAATCCAACAAACGTCGGCAATTTTATCGAAATTATAAGGAACCAAGGTTCGATGCAGTTTATCTTTATGAAGGATCTCGTTATCGAATCGATGCTCGTGTACGACTACCTTTCCCATGACGAGCAAAGTTGTTTCCGTTCGTTTCGAATTTCGACTGCACCGATCCGGTTCATCAAAGAAAATTGCCCTCTCGAAATTCGCCTTTACGTACTCACGTAAATTCACGTGCAAGTTACTTTTAACAATCCTAACTCCAGCTTCGTATCGAGAGCTAGTCAAACAAAATATTTGGCGATGATCTTCGTGAAAGCAAGTGATACATTAGCGAAATCTGTTTCCATAAATGGTCCACAAAAGTAATATGCATGGTAGAAATTTTCATTAATATAATATTTAAATATTTAATATTTAAATTTCATAATATACGATAATAATGCAAGAAATAGAAAAATTCGAGAAGATATCAACGCACTTGTAATTCCAGGGCGGAATATTATTAAAAGGAAGAAAATTGCAAAGAAAACTTTTATTAAAGAAAATATCCTTTCGTAAGTGCCGGAATGTTATCGAATGATACCAAGCACCAAGGACGTTTATCTTTGAACCATTAAAAGTACTTTATATTCTGTGGAAATTGCACTGTAGAGCTGCAAGGAAATCCCTTCGTGTGTCAATACATTTTTGATTCACGAATTGTTGTTTTAATTTTATTATTATTGTATAAATCATTATTTGAGAGTGTTACTTTTGCACGTAGTAAACCATTTATGGGAACAGATTTTGCCAAAGAGCTGGACGTAGCAATACTTTTCTAACCCATTGTATTTGTGGCAGTCGAGCAATTCGAGAGTTGCTCGAATAAAAATTCTACTCGCACTCTACGGATAGTCTGCGAGCAAACAGTTTGTCGCGCAGCAGATGTTTACATTACTGGAATAACAATAATGTGTACGAATCTCGACTGAAACGCCCCAAAAAAAATAGAACGAAAATTTACAGATTCTCGCTCCGTGACGCTCCGAGATACAGAGGCGCACGCATTTGCGCGTTTTGGAAATTCTCTCGCGTAACTCAAGTGGCATGTTACGCAGCTCTCCTGCGTCAACGTTTGCCGAAGTTACGGAATTGAAATTCCTTCCATTCTCGCGACGATGCCCGCGAACGACGAAGCCGACAAAAGACCCCATTCTGCATCGTTTGCGTAGCAAATTTCTTCCAGCGTTCTCGACTCGACTCGATATTCTTCCCTCGCGTTTAAGTCACACGAGATAACGGATCATCCGACCAAGTTGTGTTTCGTTCAACGTCACAGACAATCTAATTAGGCTGCCGACTCGGTTCCATCGATCACGTCCGGCACACCGCATACCGCGAATACTTCTCGATCAAATCGTCACGGCGATCGCGGTTAACACCGTTAGACGTCGTACGAATGCCAGTAACCGCCATAATTCGCCTCAGTTGTAATTAAGATTTCAGCGTACGCAGAAGCGACGAATAATATTAAATATTAAATATTAAATATTAAATATTATTGTATAATAATATTTAATATTAAAATTAAATACGAATATTAATATTAAATATTAAACATAATTAAATATTAATATTAAATATTAAATATAATTAAATATGAATATTAAATATTAAACATAATTAAATATTAATATTAAATATTAAATATAATTAAATATGAATATTAAATATTAAATATAATTAAATATTAAATGTAATTAAATATTAAATATAATTAAATATTAAATGTAATTAAATATTAATATTAAATATTAAATGTAATTAAATATTAATATTAAATATTAAATATTATAATTTATATTAAATTGTATAATAATATTTAATATTTATTATTGTAACTTCAAAATTCTTAAAATATGGCAGAGTGGGATATAAACTCAGAGGCAACGTTTACAGAGAATAATTGAGAAACTAATAGTGATAGTGACGATGTTGATGAGAACCTAAGTTGTTCAACGTCATCTGAACAACACTTACATTATACATTACCAGTTGCAGTCAATAATTTAAATATAATATCTACGCTGTTCAACGTCACCTGAATAATACTTATATACATTAGTATTTGCAGTCATTAAACTTCAAATAATTTCCACATGCATAAATATTTGTAGTATTAATATAATCGTCATTTTCCTTTCTTTTCGTGAACTGGCTGATGTTCATAATTAACGTTTGGATACTCTTCAAATAAAACAAATTTCTCAATCTCGCTGCACGGAATAGAGGTGTGAAGGCACTATTCCTCGAACAATTCATCTTGTCTTCTCGCGACTCGAAAGCTTACTCTGCAACGTTAGAACGCTGGGAACAACGCTTCGTCGGATCCAAATACGTTTCACGGAATTCGAGCAACGCGTTAGTCTTTCGAACGCGGCCATAATTTGTACTCATCCGTTACACGAGGCCGGAGAAACCATCCGAACGGTCCGATCAGTCATCGTAGCAAAACGCACGATCGATACTCGGGACCGAGTTTCGAACGTATTAATTGATACTCGATAGCCGCGCGTTCTCGAAGACGAGAGTCCGAATCGCGGCAGCGCGAAAATTAATAATAATTTTCGACGTCGTATCCGGTGTCGGTTCGACTCGCATCGATCCAACTCGCGTGCAAGCGTTCCAATTTTCAGACAGCGTAATTATCCTCTCGGTGCTCGCCGCCGGACAATGCCACGGACAATGCTTGTTCGCAACGTTTGCGTTTGTCCTATCCAGCTTACATTTGTTCCTACCCTCGTCGCGATAAAATCGCCTATTGCGGGCCACAAACGATCGGAGATGCGCGCCGATCTTGCCGCAGTTTCGATCGAAAGTTCGATCAGATGTATAGGGCGGTCACTGAAAAACTGAAGAGTTTGTTGGTATATTTTTTTATTTGTTGTTGTTTTTCATGCATAATACTGAAAGAAATCCTAAACTAATTATATTTCCAGATAAATTAATAAAAAATTTTGAAAACGTGTGTTTGTAAAAGTTATTTTTGTTTTATATCATATTCAGTCTTTCAGTGATCGGCGAATTGAGGGAAGGAAGGGGAAGAGGCTTCGTTTATTAGCAACCAGGAGAATTCACGTCGAGTTATCGAGTGATTCGGGGAAAATCGTAGCACGGGCAAAATTGACGCCGCACTCTCTGACAGTGAGTACCCTACAACGTTCGGCATCCACCAAAACACGTGTCGAGCCGCTTACGGTTGGGCTGACAAGAATCAACAAATAGAAATTACTCTTGCCCCAAAATTTCATTGCCGAACCAGATATCCCGGCCTGTTATTGCGTCTATGCTTTTCTTAATGTGCAAAATTTGCATTCTCACTGATGAACCTCGAACGAGGTTTCCAAAGCTTAAATAAAAAGTAAATAAATAAAATAAATAAAAGAAATTAATAATATAATAAATAAATTAATTTATTAATTTATATTATATTATATTATATTATATTATTAATAATTATTATATAAATTAATATTATTATATTATAATTATAATATTTATTATATATATATTTGTATAATTTATAATATATATAATTATATTGCAATATTATAATTATAATTATATTATAATATTATAATTATAATTATATTATTATATTATATTATATTTATATTTATATTATAATATTATAATTATAATTATATTATATTATAATATTATAATTATAATTATATTATATTATATTATATTTATATTTATATTTATATTATAATATTATAATTATAATTATAATTATATGATTATATTATATTTATATTTATATTATAATATTATAATTATAATTACATTATTATATTATATTATATTTATATTTATATTATATTACATTACTTTTATTCATCATATTAATATAATGAATAAAAGTAAATAAATAAATATTGTCGCGCCAATATGAAGAAATATATATACGTAAACGTTCTAGAGGAATTTTGCGTCTCGGAAAGAGTCGTCGATGTGTCGCGCATTCGCCTCCGCGCGTCGATACTTCATCCGACGAGAAGTTAACTCGTGCGTTTCGTACGTTCACGAGGTCTGGCGCGTGTAGCGAGACAGAACCCACCCTCGGTGTCGTCGGGATACAATTACTCACGTACCTTGATCATCGTGTAAGCCCGGCTTTCCTCATGGACCGCCCTCTTTTGCTGCTTCTCCATCATCGAGTACGCCTTGGCCCACCGTAATCCTTCTTCCTGTGACACGACACAATACGTTCAGCTAATCATCAATTACCCACTGGCTGGTGGTTACTAAAACTATCTCTCTGCGTGATACGTCGCGTCGAATTAATCGCGGATATTACATCCATGGGCAATTTGTCGTCGTCGTGGGTGAGAAGGGCGGGGGAGGCAAATATTTATCTCCTTTCGGTTACACGTTCGTTTCCGTGCTGAGCGTTAGTGACGATCCGGCATCAAACAAATCTCGAAGCAAATTTCTCTCTTATCAACCTCTCCACCCCCTCCCTCCTCCCCGGCGAGATCTGTTTGCACGAGAAACACAGGCTGAACGCTTTTACGCGGACCTCTTAAAATGCAACGGATTTCGCAGTGCGGGGTCACGCGTTCTCGCCGCTTAATTAACCCAGCTAATTTTATCGCATCGTCGCGAATTCCCAGTTTAGCGAAGAGAAGCGCCGGTCTTTTTCCGCTGCTGCAAACTGCGCAAACTTCGTCCCTGTATTTATATTGTTTCATTTTTATTCCTTGTCGCGCAGGTATGGTCATTATATGTTACACGCGAACTAAGCGTTTGCTTAGTTTCGAGAGCTAGTCTCAGTGCTTTGCCTCGATAGTTTAGTTGATAGCATCTGTGACTGAATCAATCATTCCTCAGCGTCACCATCAACTGGAAAATCCCACGGATGAACAGAGCTCGCGAATTATTCAAATCTTTGGAAATACACTGTTACTACGTTTACAAAATATCTGACAAAAATTATACATTGGTCGTTTCGATCGCTTGGTAGTTCTAGCGTTAAGTGTTGAGTGTCGCAGAATCCTTCGTACACAAAGTTTCATAGAGGAAATCAGTCCCTCAGTTGTACATCGAGTATCTTGTAACAGAATCGTTCAATCACTCGTCTTTCTTCAGAACTAAAACATATGAACACTCGACATTTTCAAACGTATTTATGAACAGAGAACAATTTTAGTATACACCCTGCTTTGCACGTCCAGCGAGAAAGATTTGAATAATAATAAATTTTTGATTAATAGTGCAGAAATCGACATTGCATTCATGAACAAATTTTCAAGAAAATTTTTCAATATTTACTTGGAAAAACTTATCAGTGTCTATTGTTTAAACAAAAGGTGTTTCTACAAAATGGGATGCATTAAATTCGTCGTTAGTTTTAAAGAAACGCTGATTTCATCAATTTACACAAAAAACGGTATCTTCAATAATTTCCGAGATATTTCCACATTGATTTTTTCCCCAAAACACGTACCGCGCCAAAGCGTCAAGAATTAAAAGAAATCGCAGACACACGCGCGCAGTGAAAAACAAACCAGTTCATTCAGCAGTCAAAATTCATAGTTTTTTCTATCTGGTCAATCTATGCTTAGTCCTTAATATCCTTCGAGTATACTCTTGTGCAATGTCCGGGATCACTGGTTAATAAATTCCAACAGACATTTCGCACGAAACGGAGCAACGAAATTATTCGCCGGCAATGCACAATGTGCGTCGACGACACGCCACGAGATGAGAGTTTGTTTCTCTCGATACGGGAACGCGAATGCGTGCGCGATACCAATTAATCGATTTCGTTAATGACTCGTAACGCCGGTCGCGACGAGGAACGGTTCCATTAATCACCGGTAGATCGAGCCGGTAGATCGGTGACAGTGCCGGAAATAGTTACTAACGAGGTGTATTCACGGTACGGCGCAGAACGTATAAATCGTTCGTGGGTGCCATCGACGTGGGCGCGCTGTATAATTTTTCACGCGACGGAACGCTCGAGGGAATAAGGAAACCGTTCCCGAAAGTGTGGAACAACCTTTCCTTTTCGCTTCATTCCTCGGGACCGGCAAATGTAGCTCGACTGAAAACCATTAACTCGCCAGAACTCGGTGGATAAAGATAGCACGCTCTATACTTACTTTGTGTCTTTGTTTTATTAATTTCTGTTATGTAATTGTAATAATATGTTATTATAATTTGATAACAATTGTGCAAGTATTAATTATATAATTAATATAATTTTATTATAATTGTGTAGTATTGGAGCAAGTGTTCCATGTCGTATAACCAATTAAAGATAGCACGCTTTATATTTTCTTTGTTTCTTTGTTTTATTAATTTCTGTTATGTAATTGTAATAATATGTTATTATAATTTAATAACAATTGTGCAAGTATTAATTATATAATTAATGTAATTTTATTATAATTGTGTAGTATTGGAGCAAGTATTCCACGTTGTGTAACCAAATAAAGATAGCACGCTCTATATTTTCTTTGTTTTATTAATTTCTGTTATGTAATTGTAATAATATGTTATTATAATTTGATAACAATTGTGCAAGTATTAATTATATAATTAATATAATTTTATTATAATTGTGTAGTATTGAAGCAAGTGTTCCATGTTGTATAACCAAATAAAGATAGCACGCTTTATATTTTCTTTGTTTCTTTGTTTTATTAATTTCTGTTATGTAATTGTAATAATATGTTATTATAATTTAATAACAATTATGCAAGTATTAATTATATAATTAATGTAATTTTATTATAATTGTGTAGTATTGGAGCAAGTATTCCACGTTGTGTAACCAAATAAAGATAGCACGCTCTATATTTTCTTTGTTTTATTAATTTCTATTATGTAATTGTAATAATATGTTATTATAATGTGATAACAATTGTGCAAGTATTAATTATATAATTAATATAATTTTATTATAATTGTGTAGTATTGAAGCAAGTGTTCCATGTCGTATAACCAAATAAAGATAGCACGCTTTATATTTTCTTTGTTTCTTTATTTTATTAATTTCTGTTATGTAATTGTAATAATATGTTATTATAATTTAATAACAATTGTGCAAGTATTAATTATATAATTAATGTAATATTATTATAATTGTGTAGTATTGGAGCAAATATTCCACGTCGTATAACCAAATAAAGATAACACGCTCTATATTTACTTTGTTTCTTTGTTTTATTAATTTCTGTTATGTAATTGTAATAATATATTATTGTAATTTAATAACAATTATGCAAGTATTAATTATATAATTAATATAATTTTATTATAACTGTGTAGTATTGGAGCAAGTATTTCACGTCGTATAACCAAATAAAGATAGCACGCTCTATATTTTCTTTGTTTTATTAATTTCTGTTATGTAATTGTAATAATGTTATTATAATTTAATAACAATTGTGCAAGTATTAATTATATAATTAATATAATTTTATTATAATTGTGTATTATTGGAGCAAGTAGTCCACGTTGTATAACCAAAATTAGAATAATTGAATATTTTGTTATGTATATAATTTTATTATTCGAATAATTTTAAACTGTGAACGTTCGCGATGTCCACTTTGCAAAGACACAGGTTTTTAAAGCGTACAAAAAATAAAATTTCAGCATCTTGAAATTCTCTCAGTTAAGAGTTTTTACATTCTTTTAATTAATATAAATATATTTTTCTAATAATTTCTATATATATACTATACTTCTATATACTGTTTCATAAATATGTATTGCTTTAATATCCACATAAATAACGAATATAGGTTGAACTGATGAAAAAATATGTGAACCATGTGCGGCCCTCGACAAATTTTTGTTTTGTCAATGGAGGCCCAGGAGATCGAAAAGATTGGACAGCCATTAATTAGAGTGTATCGTAAATCAGAGAGAATTATTACGCGTCAGTATCCTCGGGCGTGGATCTACACGTGTAGTATCATACGTGTAGTATGTTTCGATACAAAAAACGAGAATATAAATATTGTCCGCAGTCGCGAGGCAGACAGATTAGAACAAATCGAATGTTTACGGTCCTCGGTTGTACGGAAGCTATCGGAAGCGTAACATTCATGCGAAACACAGTCGGTTAAGTGCGTATTAATGTTTGTAAAAAAACTTAGTTACATCAAGCTGAAATGCACACGATGTTGCAAATTAAAATGGAAAACGTTATTCTGTGAGAAAAGTAGCCGAAACAGTGAACAGAGATCGTAAAGTGATAGTGAATTCACTGAAAAAATAATCATGGACAAAGTTGTGGACGACCGTAGCTACCAGATCTAATACTACGTATGCTCAATTACAATACAATACAAATTTACAAGTTTCATTACAATAAAATACAATTTTAATTAAAATAATCTATCAAACTAATTTACTTATTACACACATACTTATCCTACTTATACACGTTGACAAAGGCGCTACGGACGAATGCTTTAAACATGTAAGAAAGCATTTTTCTGTCGTTCGTTCGAATCAAAAGAAATGTAATAATTTTCAGAGCGTGCTGTCTTTTTGTCCGCGGAAAAGGTGCACCAGTTACAAAGTGCCAACCAGAAGCTCACTTTGCCTCGACTCGAACAATCGTTTCCTCGTGCAAATGGCATAAACGGCAGACTGTCGTCGTCCCATCGGGGGCACGTTTTACGACTCGAGTTTATTGCGATTAGCGCCTTGGCGGACGAGGTCGTAACACTTCTCCCCCTTAAAGTCGGCTGATTTCAGTTACCGGTCGTACGATTCGTAATCCGTGAAAACAAACACGGTGTTTCGAGCAAACACCAGCGTGTAACGGCGGGGAACAACAACGTTCAACACGCACGCCTTCGTAACAGTAACTCTACGCAGCCGAGTCGAATCCGTTGCATTATCATAATCGATATTTCGTTAGCATAATGAAACGATACTCCCGCTCGTTACGAAGTGGGACGCGACGTGCCACGTCGATGTAATTTGCCCGCCGAAATGGCTATAATCGAAACAGCAACGGCGCCGATTAAAATTTCTCCCCTTTGCCCCGAACGTACGTACGTAGACGCGTTTGTTTGCTCAAAGCGATTAATCGCGCACGCGCGTTACCTTCACTAGTCGCTGTTCGCTACTTCCGGGGAAAATTAAAAACGAACGTTTCACGACTCTCTCGCAACTTTTGCCGACGGAGTCCTCGAAAAGTGGAAAACGCGAGGAAATCCAG